ACGGCTTGGTAAAGATATCGGCGACTTGATCGACCGTGCTTATAGGAAGAAGCCGAATGATGTTGTTTCGAATGTGTTCACGCACGAACCTTTGGTCGATCTCAATATGCTTTGTCCGTGTGTGAAATACCGGGCTATTGGCTAAAGCAATAGTTGAAGTGTTGTCGCCGAGGCTAGCACCCGATACTCAGATTCTGTGGATGATCTGGAGACAGTATTCTGCTTTTTAACTGACCACGAGACCAAGGTATTGCCTAGAAATGTACAAAAACCAGAAGTAGATTTTCTAGTTTCCGGATCGGAGGCCCAATCAGCGTCCGAATATGTGCGAAGGGTGAGATCTGATCTTGAAATCGGAAGGCCGAAATCAGTGGATCCTTGAATGTACCGAAGAAGTTTCTTGAGCATTGCTGAGTGAATTGAAGCCGGCTTGTGCATATGTTGAGATAAGGCGTTGACTGCATAGGCTATGTCTGGCCTGGTGAGTGTTAAATATTGCAATGATCCGATAATCCTTCGGTAGGCCAGTTCATCAAAAGAAGCATCCTCGGGCAAATTCGAGGCTGGAAGTTTAGTAAACGACGGGTTAGCGACCGAGTTACATTTGGGTAACCCGGCCATTTGAATTATTGATTTTGCATAAACAGATTGAGATAGAAAAAACTTATCTTGTGTGTGTTCGATTTTGAGGCCGAGAAAGTGATTTGCGGTTCCCAGATTTGTCATGGTGAATTGGGATTGCAGCTGATTGACTAGAGCAGTCATCGCGCATTCATCATTTCCTGTAAGCAAAATGTCGTCGACGTATACTAGTAGATAGAGACGAGTGCGATCGCGATTTAGTGTTAGGAGTGACGGATCTGCTTGACTGTGCTGAAACCCGAGCTTTAAGAGATATGAGGTGAATGTTGTGTACCATTGTCTCGGAGCTTGACGTAAGCCGTAAATAGCTTTTTGTAGTTTGCAAACATAATTGGGATGTGATGCATCTTCGAATCCTTTGGGCTGTCTCATATATACTGTCTCATGAATGTCGCCATGTAAGAACGCATTCGCAACATCTAGTTGCTGGACCTTCCACCGATGAAACAGCGCAATGGTAAACAGGATACGAATTGTCGGAAGTTTGGCCACAGGACTAAATGTGTCCTGGTAGTCCAGGCCATATTCGTGTTGATTTCCTTGAGCTACTAACATGGCTTTGTAGCGAGCTACCGTGCCATATGAGTTTAACTTAGTGCGATATGTCCACTTGGAGCCGAGAATAGAGCCAGTCATTGGAGGTGCAACGAGCATCCAAGTACCTTGCTTCTGTAATGCGTAGAATTCTTGTGCCATTGCCTGTCGCCATTCAAACTTTTTACTTGCTTCCGCATATGTAGTTGGATCGCTTGGCACGTTAGCCTGATGAAACATATTTAGTTTTTGTACAGGTTTGAGCGAACCCGTTTTGGTCCGAGTAGTCATGGGATGTGTAGCATTGCGGTTTGTTGGCTCCGGTAGAGTGATCCTGTGCTGATCTGTAACGCATACCGGAAGGCTTGCTGCAGTAGGTTCAGTAGAAGTTTGAGGTATCGATCGAACAGGTGGTGGCACGCTGATTTCGTTTTGACGATGTAGCGTAGAGGGCGGAATGAGCAGCGATGGTGGCATGAAGTTATGCTGAGCTGGTGCTTGAGTGATCTTTGATCTAAGCGGAAAAACAGATTCATTAAATTGAACGTTTCGAGATACAAAAAGTTTATTCGTTACCGGATTAAGACATTTATATCCTTTTGATATATCAGAATAACCCAAGAAAACACAAGAAGTGGAAGTAGGTGTAAGCTTAGTTCGTTGCGTAGGAGGGAGCAACGGAAAACATTCACACCCAAATACTCGAAGGTGTGAATAAGACGGTGAAACCTTGAACATACGATAGAGAGGAGCTACATTCTTAATAGTTGCGGATGGTAGCCTGTTGATTAAATAAACGGCGGTTGTGGCAGCGTCAAGCCAGTAGTTTAGAGGAAGCCCCGCAGTAAAGAGCAAAGTTCTGGTCATAGTTATTATGTGTCTGTGTTTACGTTCTGCGATCCCGTTCTGTTCTGGAGTGTAGGGGCAGCACGTTTGATGCTTAATTCCAGCTTTTTGAGTGAATGATTGAAACCGACTGTTAACGAACTCACCTCCACCGTCCGTTCTAATGATTTTAAGTTTCATGTTTGTTTGTCGTTCAACAAAATTCACAAAAGTGATGAAAGTAGTTGTGACATCAGATTTATGTAATAAAGGGAATAACCAAACAAATCGAGAAAAGTCATCTACGAATATAACATAATATCGATATCCTTGGTGTGAGGGCACTGGTGAAGGTCCCCACACGTCGGAGTGAACCAGCTCAAGCGAAAAACGACTGGAAGTAACAGAACTTTCAAAAGCAAATTTCTGACCCTTACAAGACAAACACTGAGTACAAGTATATATAGTATTGCAAATATGTAACAAAGGGTTATTATTTGAAATGTACCGAAGAACATGAGAATTGGGATGTCCAAGACGCATGTGGCAGATCGCCGGAGAGAGCCTATGGGCGGTAAGTGCTGTAGCGGTAGCATTCTGGACGGATTTGGCTATCTTGTACACACCCTGATCGCATGGTCCTTTAAGGATGACTTGATTTGTCATCCGATCCTTAAGAACAAAGCCAGTTGTGTCAAAAGTAATAGAGATAGGATTATCTTTAACAAGATTTGAAATAGATAATAAATTGTAAGATAGAGAAGGAATATGCAAAAGTTTGGATAAAACTAGCTTACTAGCCGGGGTTGGAAGTATTCCAGAACCCGTGTGAGCGATTGGTATCGCTCTGCCATCCCCAAGAATGACATTTTTGTTACCATTGTAGGTATTGTAGCAATCCAGGTGCTCGGTAGAGTTGGTCATATGAGATGACGCCCCTGAGTCGATATACCAGTCCGAC